CTGTCCTCCTGCAGACTGTTCCTTTCTCCCTGTGGGCACTGCACAAAATACATGTTCGCCTGGTCTTCTTGGTACCGCCATATCGGGTGAATGTTCTGGCCGGGGCTGCCCTAACCTCTATTAAAGAGTACCGTTTTTCAAAGGAGGCAGAGGGAGGGGGAAATGACCGATCGTCAAGGATTACCCGCTCAAGTCATATTGCCTGACCCATAGCCCCTGCAATACTCCCATACTGCCTATTCCAAAATCTGGATGGAAGGACGAATCGTGCTTTGTCCAGCACCTACTCACCATCAATCAGATTGTAGCACCCATCACCCTTGTAATCCCTGACCCCAATGTGACTCTGTCCTCCATGCCCCCGATTCGTCCTGTTACACAGTCATTGACATCTGCTCAGCCTTCTTTTCTATTCCTCTCCATGAGGACAGCCAAAATATTTTTGCATTTGCCTACTGTGACAGACAGTATATATGGACCCGGCTTCACCAAGGCTACACTGAGAGCCCGGTCTAATGTGCCTCTGTGGTCCAAACGGATCTCCTTGAGCTATCATTGCCCGACGATAGTCCAGTACTGCAATATGCTAATGATTTATTGATTGCCTCACGCGATTGTGATGCCTGTCAACAAGACACCGTAGCATTACTGTGTCATTTGGCTTATAGAGCTCCAAAACTACAATTGTGCCAGCCCTCAGTGTAATACTTTGGCTTTGCTCTTGAGAATGTTACACGCCGACTAGGACCAGAGAGTGTTGAGGCAGCATCCAGGTTCCTGACACAAAAATAAATGCTGTCCTTTCTCGGTATGGTGAACTATTGCAGACAGTGGATACCTGAATATCAGCGAATAGATGCTGTGCTGCGGCAGACTACATTGCGGGGGAAACTGACTGAAATAGACTGGATTGAAGAGCGGCAACAAGCCTTTCAGAGCTCAAAACGACGCTTTACTCAAGCTCCCACTTTGGGGACTCCTGATTAAAACAAGCCCTTTGCCCCCTATGTCAGTGAAAAGGCGGGGTTTGCAAGTGGCATTCTGACCTAGGAGCACGGTGGACTCAGGCGACTGGTAACATGCTACTTGGCTCAGTTGCTTCCCGTTGTTAGAGGAATGTCTTGTTGTCTACGAGCTATTGCCGCCACAACTGTATTTGTGGAAAAATCGAACCCCATTGTTTTGGACCATAGGTGTGTGATTTTGGCCCTTCATGCAGTCCAACTGATTCTAAATTCAGCGCCGAAACAACACGTCACTGCTGCCTGCTGCACTGGGTTAGAGGTCATGCTGTTGTCCAAGCCAAACATTTCCATTGGGCTAGCACCCTCGTTAAACCCCGCCAACCTTCTCCCTGACAGTGGTGAGACAAATGAAAGCGAGCATGACCGACTGCAGGTCACTGATTCTGTCATGTCTCCCCACCCTGACTTACAATCCACACTCCTGGACAAACCCAATTTGGTGCTTTTCACCAATGGTTACTTATCCTGGTCTTATGAGAGTGCCACACTGGCTGAGTGTGCAGTCGTCACCCGTT